TTTTTGTCCTCACAATGAGTCCTGTTTTATTGGTAGCTAGGATCCCTTGTTACAAACACTTCTTGTTCAGGATTATATTCTTTGGGTTTATTGGAACAGGAAGTGCTGAAAATGTCAAAATATCATTTCTGAAGGAAAAGGAGCTGCAATGGCTTAAGAGTTTAAACTAAGAAGGGAGCTCAGAGAAGTACTTTCAGCACAGGAATGAACAGTATTCTCAAACTGCAGAATGCAGAGTTGCCCTCTCTTAGAAGGAGGACTCTATGTAACGAAAACAGAAACGAAGCATAGGTAATAGTTGAAGAGCCTTTGACGCAGTAATTCTTCCAGGCCGTAACCATACACATCTGATCATTTAGACACAACGGATTTCTATATACAAAGAAAAACATGTAACTTTCAACCTTTATGCTTCTTTTTTTTTTTTTACAAACAAGGTATGAAACCCATTGTTTCAACAGATCCATATCTTTCAAACACTGAATGAATCGTTTCGACATTCATTTTTCTTTTGTGCAATTTTTTTTTTTTAAAACATTACCTGTACTCCTCAAAGTGAGTGCCTCAAAAATTTCTTTTCTTCAGCTTCTCAAGTTAGGTGTACATTATAAAGAAGGAAAAAAAAAAAAAAAAGGAAATTCCCACAAGGTCTAGTGCTACAAGAAAAGATCCCATCAGTAAGTAACATTTGAAGCGAGGTCATCTCTGTAGAAGTCTCGGCTCCAGAGTAGAGGTGTGCAAATCGTTTGGAGTTTCCCTATCAACAGAAACACAACACTGTCCGTGGAAAAGAGGAAACCAACCCAACACAATAGCATATGCATGTGCTTTATAAAAAGTATATTCTCTGTATGGTTATTACTTGATGTCTTAAATTCTCCATTTCAGAAATTCTGGGTTGAAAACACAAAAGTGGAAGCAAAGGCCTTCACTCCACTCTAAAGAATACAAAAAGCATAATTCCCTTTTCTTTCATATCCACCAAAGAAGCTGGGTCGGGCCAGGGAGATGGGCGGCCCTGTTGTCACCTGGAATCGTCACGGTGACCAGAAAACAGGAAGTGCAAAGGGTTAGGAGAGAACTGGCCACAGTTTCTTGAGCTGCTCGTGGTACATGAAACGGTCGCCATGGCAACCAACACAGCTCAAAAAGCCTGGCCTTCTATCCCAACAGCTCTGCTTCTTCACCCAAATCTGAAATCGCGTGGCATTAGTGTCTTTAAAAGCATTGAGATTTTTCTATGAAAGAAATGGGTTTCCTTAGTAGTCACAGATGTTAAAGGGTATTGTCAATTGTTTCCTTAAAAAACAAACAAACAAAAAGTTCCAAAGCTACAACGACAAAAGAAATTTTGGCAACATATTTCAGTAAAGATCAAACTATGTGCAAAGAGTGGATTTCTGATTACTAGGAGCTGCTGTTCCTCTCAAACATGCAGCATCATATTGCAATCTATGCAGGATCTAAGGAGTAATCCACAAGGTGCAGGAAATCCAAACATTCCTCGAAGTTGTACAGCCCTACTCCAGAGCAGTCAAAGTGCTGCTCCGGGCACATCAGTGTACCACACACACGCCAGCCCGTCCCTGAGTAAGAGGTGTGAAAGGTTCCGCAGCGTTCCTGGGGGAAAGGGGAAGGGGGAAGCTGCTGCCACTTCCTGCGGGGGCAACCCAACACACTCACCCAACAAAACACAGAGGGTCACAATGCAGAGTCAAGAGAGGCGTCAACGACAGCAGTGAAGAAAATCAAATCATCCCACACCAAACAGGGCGAGTTGGGGAAAACAAAACAAAAAAAAAAAGTTGACTGACATAGGAAATTATCCTGAAAGTCCCAATGAAAATGCAATTTGGATTTCCACTTCAAAAGGTTTGAGGTAAGTGGCACCCATCTCTTTATCTGCAACCCAGTGTGGCCCAGACAAACCGAAATAATTCTCAAGTTAAACATTCGAAGGAACAGTCATTTTCTGCATTTAGAAATCCCTAGAAAGAGAGGTTCTTGTTTGTTGGTTTCTTATTATATATATATATATTTTTTCTTTTTCACCCTAATTTCTTGGTGATTGTGTTCCACTGTAAATGCAAAAAGGCCTGCTGTTATTAGTTTAAAAGTGGGGAACAGGAAAGAAAGAACTAAATACAGTGTCAGCAAATATTGCAAAGTGGACAGGGTACAGAGGCACAAGGCTGATTCTCGTGAGCTGCAGGGCACCGGAGAATGTCTACGCCTACCGCTGCCAGGTCTGCTACACAGGAGTGGTGGCAAAGACTGCTCTGGGAGCCTCCATTCAGCAAGGTCTGCAAACAGGAGGAGGCTCCCTGTCCCCTGGATGTTCTTCCTATTCGAAGAGAAAGCTGCCACAGAGGAGAGTGAGCGGTGCTGGCAGGTGGCCCCTCCACAGCCGCCGCTGGCCTGCACGCTCACAGTTCACGCACACGTCACTTCCTGCGGGCTCAGAGGCACAGCTCAAAGTCTCAAGGACACAGACCTGAGGAGGGGCCTGCCCCCTTGCGGAAAAGGGCGTGGAAAATGGGTTGATGCTGGCTCTATGGCTCCAGCGTTCGCCTTAGAAATGACTCTGCCTCCTTCCTCTACACACTCCACATTCACTATTCATCGTGGTGACAGTGGTACGGCAGCTGGTCCCCTAGATCTCCTTTGCTTGATCTTTCTGCAATGTGGCGACAGACACCTGGGCTCCTGAAGGCTCCCGCCCAGCACTCAGCATCCACAGCAGCAGGGGGAGCTCGCAGCAGGGGGGTGCTCTCCCCTTTCAGCTCCTCCCCTCCAAACAAGGAGAAAGCCAAAAGGGTGTGAGCTTTAACTAGAGCACACGGATCAGAGTCTATTGGCGTGGAAAGTATTGCACATGCTGAAAAAGCAGGAGAGCGAAATGGGACAATGCTGAGAAAGAACCAATCCTCTTATAATTCCTATACCTGAAATAGAAGCACAAAAATGATGACGACGTTCCTATTGCTCCAACCATGTATATTTTCCCACTTTAGTGTTGGTGGTGTGGGTCCAGTTGGTTCCATGCTTGAAGTAAGCCAAATGGTTGTGTGTGTCTTTCTGAGTCCACGTGAGTGGCGCCAATGAGGACAAAGTCGATGTGGCAGCCCCGTATTCCTCTTGCCACCAAAGGTTATAAAAGAAAAAGAAAACCTAATAATTCCAAGTGCCCTGAGCAGAATATATGGAAGATTAAGCAAGTTCTGTGGACAGAAACGCTTTAAAAAAATACAGCACTAAAAGGAGCATTATGACTGCGAGAATGGGCCCACCCAGCTCTCTGCGAGCATGCAGGAAGGGTGGTGAAATTCGAAGAGAGTAAAGGACCGGCTCTAGCTATTCTATACCTATTCAAATGTTTTTGGTACATTCCAGAAAATGGTTTATAAGCTCATTAGTCCTGGTGAGGACAAAATGTGCAGGAACACTAGATAGTCAAAATGTGGGTTGAATTAGGACTTCTTAAATTTGTGAAATGAGAAAAGTATTATTTCTCAATGAGAACAGAAAAATCCGAAGTTTTTGTTCAGATTAGCTGCAGCCATTCCAAGTACGAATATTAAAAATTTCTTCCTACTTATAAAACTTTTTTTTTAAAGCACTTTGAGATGCAAACTGATAACCCACAAACAATATTTCACTTCTCTGGGAATGAAAGGTTTAAATTCTGAAATACCTTTCTGGGTTTGTACCAAACACCAAATCTTGATTTGATTTCAGATGAAAAAAAAAAAAAAAGTCATTCTGAAAAAACAGTAACAACAATGAGTTTTTAAAAAAAAATTTTGCTCACATATATAAATGTCTCTATGGATAACTCTCTCAATGAATCTGAAGAAAATTCTCAGAGTTGTCCTGCCAAAGACCTGGTTTTTGTGACAGATGTGGTAGAAAGACCAAAATAAATTTTGAAAGGAACATAACTTTATAAAATGGCCTAGAGTTTAGGCAGGTTAGAAAGAAATTCTGCTACATTTATTTATGCTCGTTCAGTCCCCCAAACCTTTCCCACAATGTTATTGGATAAAAACTGCAGGAATATCACACAAATTATGAACTCAAGATGTGCAAATCGCAAGGTTCTTTAAAAAGTTCGTCGTAAAAAGAAAAAAACACTGGACAAAAATGAGTATTCTTTTTTCCATCCCTTTTCTCTCGGTTTCTCTGCCAGCTCTGCATATGCCTTTAATCCCTTCTCAAACATCAAAGTGAAAGTGCCTTCCCGCTAGGCTGCACTGGGTGGTCATTCATTGTCACATAACTGGTTCATGATTCACATTCATCCTTTTAAACCACATTGAAACTGTCAATATCTTGACGTGAGAAACTCTGCAGAGCTGAAATGCAGTTACAGTGTCAAAAAAAGATAGCAACTTAGTTTTTTTTTTGTTTTTTTCTTCTTCCCAAAGACTTTACAGTGAGATACAGTACTTGTTGAATGCTAGACCAAGATGCTTGGTAATAAAGTGTGAACAGCATTTTAAGTGCTTAGAGATAGCAATAGATATGCTCATCTTCAAAATCCAATTCCTCACGTCACACTGGAATCTGAAAAAAAAGTGGCACCCGAGTTGTCCATAGTCATGAACTATAAACAGTACTAGAGTTAAAAGACACAAGATTTGCAAACCCACGGTGAAGAGCTTCCGCAGCTCTCTGAAGGGCAGCTCCCTCTGCCTCTTGGGAGGAAGTCAACGCGACCACCTGATTGGTTTTCCTAACACTGCACAGGACCAGGGTGGGCCCCGCAGCCCCGCACCCTCAGGGAGCCCTGCAGCCGGGGCAGCCCTGCCCACCAGACACCCCGAGGCGGCACTGGACTAGCGAAGCAGAAACGAAATCCCACGTGTGGCAGTTGCTCTTAGAAAAAAAAAAAAAATCAGTGCAGTCAGGCCCCATAGGGGGAAATACATATCTCTATGATTAAAAGTTGCTTTTATTGTAAAATATGTTGGGGGGGGGGGGAGGGGAATAATGTTCTTTTACAGGGTTAGCTTTCCATCCTCTCTAGGATGCCCTGAGGCTGGGTTCCTGATATTTCTTTTGTACAGGAGACCTCCTGAGGACGCGTCTCTGGAGCTCCAGCCCCGTGCTGAGAGCGTGAAGCAGGGGGAGGCGGAGAGAAGACGACCCTCTCCTGCTGTGGCACCCCTGCTCCCTGCCCCGTCCCTTCCCCCCCAACACTCACACACACCCCCCTGCAATCCCCTTCCCACCAACTTCCTCCCGAAACCAGCAGCAGTCAGCGCCCAGCGGATGCTCCCCGCGCTGCTGGGAAAGGCAGCTAAAGCCCCGTTCATCCCCACCAGGCGCCCGCGGACAGACACGCGTGGAAAAAAAGCATATGCACCGTCTCCTGCGCAACACCGGCTGCAACTCTAACGACAAGGTCATAACAGAAACCTAAAGGAAGAGGATACCATGTAAATACTGTGTTATTCAGCCTACAGTACAGTAATCTGGATATAAATGATAAAGGGAGGGCTGCCGCCGCCGCCGCCGCTACTTGCCCACGTTGGACCGGCCCTCGATGCAGATCTTAACCTCCTGAGGAATTAGAGAGGGCCTGGGCAGAGTCAAAGGCGGCTCGTCTTCCGACTTCTCCAGTTTGCGGCTCTCCGGCGCCGACCACCTCCTCTTCCTCGCGGTGGCCGCGGGCTTGCCGGGTTCTATTTTTGGGGGCAAGGGCGCTGCGGGCAACCCCATCTTCTCCGGAAACTTCAGTTCGCCGTTCTCGGGGAGCATCGGGGCGCCCCCCTGGTGGAGGCCGTTCTCCTGCTCCGCGTACCGGTGCCTGCCGCCCGCGAGGGCCTCGGCCTTGGCGTGCTTCAGCAGGACGCTGGCGGGGTCCACGGGCTGGCCCTTCTTCACCGAGCCGTTCTTCAGGCTCTTGAGGGTCAGCGAGATGCAGACATCCCCCACGGAGAGCTTGGAACACGGCAGGTCGAAGAGCTGGCTGGTTCGCTCTGGACAGCAGGACGACCAGCCCTGTCCAAACACAAAAAAAGGGTACTCTACCAAAACCTCCACGCTGACCTGCGGGACAGAGAAGGGGAAGACAGACAGGAAATAGTGAAAACGTTTTATTCGGGTTCTGTTTCACACACGTGCAATACAGAAGCTGAATGGGACAAAACAAGTCAGTCCCACAAATCTCTTCCACTGACACACACACGAGTGAGGCTCTTAATTTTCTGGTGTCCTTGTACTTACCGTAGGCAGATGCTGGGCAGAAGCCAGGGTAAAAGTCCCTTCTGCACTCAAAATGCCATTTTACTGAGTATCAGCTCTATGCCTGGTCTCTATGAAAACAAGTCAATCGACCCCCAAGGATGAAAGAACATAGGAATGTTCAGCACTGAGCAAGGCGCCGGCCTTGTGCCTGATTAGCTCACTGGACAAGGCTCTTCTCCTGTGTGACAGAGCTGATGTGGGTCAGAGTCAGACTGTGTGCGCTCCACAAGGTAGGCACTGTGTGTTAATCACGGTACCTCTGGCTCCTAAAAGGGTACCTGGCACATAGTTGAGGCTTCATGTTTATTGGATAAATGGATGTGTACTCCAGGAATTGAGGGGAAGCAGAATTAGCAAGGTTAGAATCAGTGGGGAGGGCTTTCAACCAGGACCTGAACGGCAGGCAGAGTTGGGGGAGGTTTGAGGGAGAACATTGTTGGGAGAGGGTCAATGTGATATAAACATCTCAAGCACCTGGTTCATCTACGCCAAGCATGCCAAACTCGAGGCTAGCAGGATGCATGCCTATTACTATAGTTATGTGAGCATGAGCCCATATAAATGTGAATATCATCTGGAGGAAACAGCATAGTTCTGGGATATTTTAAAATATAAAGAAAGCGAACATTTTTTGAGTACCTACTTGACAAAAAGCCTTTTGTTTAATGCTAACAATATACTAGTGAAAAAAGCGTTGTTGTTCTAATTTAAAAATAGGGAACTATAATTACAGTCTCAGAAAGATTAAATCAGTTGCCTAATGGCACAGCTGTGAAATTGATGGAATTGGGATTTAATCTAATCTCTGTGGCCTCCCAACCCATTTTCTTTTTCCTGTGCTCCCGATCTCTGCCTCTATGAACAGAGATACAATACCACTGAGAAAGATGAACTTGACATTCTTACTGTCCCCAACAGTGGTGAATATCACTTGAAATAAACAGGATCCCAATGGCAGGAGCTCATGGTTTGTTTCATGGTACAGAAAATTGTGAAATAGTGTTGGCCTTACACCTACACATACAATTCTAGTCTCTCCATGTAAATGTGTGATGAGGCTGCTATTCAATTATAGATCTACATTTATACGTCACACACATATATCTGCATATACATATGAACAATCACACCAGTTATAGTATCAGATGGGGATGACCACTGAGTTCCAAGTGGGAGGGCCACCCTGGAGCTGGCCCCATAAATCCTGCCCCAAACCTCTTAGAGCCATCAACATCACACACTGAGCAGAGGAACCAATCCTTCTTCAAGTGGGGATTTTTTTAAACTATATTTCCAAGTCATAAAAACAAAGTTATCAAGTGTAAATATCTCCGAAGAATCTACCAGACTCACTGCTTATCCCTGCCTAACAGCTGTCAGAGGTCATGTGACATTCATAATACTGGAAGCCCCATGTGCAAACATATTTGGCTTTGCATGTTCCTGGATGATCCGGATAGAGGCAGTCTGCCTCCTACCAGACTGTACACACTCCTCAGAGCAGCCAATATTCCATGTTCTGAAAACAATGTCTACTCATATTCATAGATAAGTCTACCTGAGACTTTTACATGTTACCCAGTATCTACAGACTCACCAAGAAGTAATGTTTTCAAGGCCTTTATAACAAGTAACACTACTCATTATTCCAAAGGCTGTGATGTAGATGCATATACTTTCAATTATATATTCCATAATGTTTTGGGGCATTTGAAAGCCCTTCCTTACTCCTTCATCTTGACACTCCCAAGGCAGGTCTTAGAATTAAGTATCATGAGGTCACCTGTAGCTTGAACAGCCTACCTAACAATTCATGAAAGAAAAATGATGAGGAAGAGAATATTGACAATACGCACTAAAAAGAGCTGATGATAATGGAATTCATTTTAACTTGGGTAGGTATGGGAAAATATACTCCACTACTTCAAGGGCTTGTCTTTGGTCCCTTCCTCCTAAATTCTGGAAAAGATGCCACACACACAGCCTCAGGCGAGTCTACACAAACCAGGAGGGAAAGATTATTCAGACAATGTGATTGTTGTAAACAGTGCACTGGATAGCTCATGCCAAATGCTATTTTTTCTCCTCACTGATTATTCATCCTCGCTAATATTTATCCTCAGACATTTTCCTCCTGAATTATTTATTTAGAAAATGTACTTTTTTGGGGTCTGCACATATGTCAACTAAAATAAGTTTTTTCCCTTTCTTTGGTGAAAGTTAAACTCTCCTTGTACATATCTCAGATAAGCATACTAATAGTAAAGTATTCGTAACCAATCTGTATATTTCATAATTAGGTTTATCAAAAGGATATAAACATTCCTAAAGATTAACTGATCATTAACAGTTAATGAAGAAACCATACGGAAAGATTTTTCAGTAAGAGTATATGTAGTTAGGTCTGTCTAAAAGTCCCTTGGAGAGGACTTATCTACCTCAAAACATGCTCTCATTGCTGTGTTGGACATGAAACAGATTTGGAGAGATTCCATGACATGATGTTACTTTAAATTGGAACATTGAGTCTGTGAGTTCCTTGAATTTGAGACCCAAGCAGGTCTCCCCTATGGTGCTGAGAGCTTCCAATGTTATTGATCAAGTGTTCCCACTCCAGGTTTTGCAGTTGTGATAAAGTTCAGTAACTACACTGAGTACCTGCTAAATGTGAGGGACTGCAGAAGGGAACCTATTGTTTAAGACCTAGCTTTTGCTTCAGTGGGAAGAGAGAACATGTATGCAAAACAGGTAACTTCATAAGGCACACCTGGATATGGCCACCATGTTATCGCATGATGCCCACGTGGATACCTACTGGTAACGCAAATGCAATGTGTCCAAAACGGACCTCTTGTATGCCCCTGCCCACTGGCACCTCTTAGGCTCTTCTCATTCCATGAACGGCACTTCCATTATTCCAGTCATTCAAGGCCTGGAGTCACTTTTGACTCAGCTCTTTCATACTACACTCATCAAATCACAAAGCAATCCTGTCTGTCCTCTCTTCCAAATTTTCCTAGAATGAGACCACGTCTCACTGCCTCTACTGCCCCTGTCTTGGCTGACCCAGCTCCCTCTCACTGAGAGAACAAGCGCCATGCACAAACTGTGGTCTGCATGCCCCCTCCGCACTGCACCCCGTGACCGGTCTCCTGCTGGTCCTTTACCTACACTGCACCTCTGCATCTGTGTCCACATTAGTCCCTGCAGTTGGAATCCTGTCTGCCCTGTGCACTGTCGCCTTCCAATGCCCTTCTCAGAGCTTTGCTGACCACATGAAATAACAATACCCCATCCCTAGCTTTCCTGCCCTCTCTTTCCCCCCAGGGCACTTACTATCATTTGATACATTATTTTTTTTACTCATGCTATTTGTTTCATCTCTTTCTCCAAACTCCCACAAGACTATATGCTCCACTAAGGTGGAGATATTGTCCGTTCTGCTCATCTTTCTGTGCCCAGAGTCTAGGATGCTTTCTGGCCTGTAATAATTGGTGCATGCCTTGCAGTGTTTTCACAGATGGGAGGCAAACATGAAACTAGGTAATCAGCTTTGTACTGAGCATGCCCAGTGCAGCACCCATCAGCACTGAGGTAGATGAGGCTCCTCCTAAGGGAATTTCAAGAAGACAGACATGATATATATACTTTGACAGAAAAATCCCTCCATGTGACTTCATTAACTGTCAATGAATAACCAGTTCCGTTTTTGCCTTCTACTTGCAAAAGCTCTGCAATGGCACAATTGGCCAACAGAGGTCAATGTTTAGATACTGAGGCGCTGGCTGTCCCTGTTCTTTGCAAGGACTAAACTGGGCGACCAGTCCTCTCCGGGGAGCGGGGAGCGGGCAGCGCCTTCCTGGGGGCTGGCTCGCCACTCACAGGCAGCTTTCTGGGCTGAGCCTTAGCGGCCTCCCTCAGCGCTTCCCTGTCAGACACTGAGTTCATCATGACCTCATAGCATCCAACTTTGGTCCTTTTCTCTCCACTCTTGAGGCTCCTCTTTGTTATTTCAGCTGTGCTAATAACCACTCATTTTATGACCTTGTGGGGGTTCAAATGGTCTCTGCTTAAACCCAATGAACACACATTCCTGAGGGCAGCACCATATAAAAACCAAAGCACGTTACATAACTCCTGGCAGCTCCACAAGGCCCATCTTTTTCATCCATAAATGTATCTTTTTCCAAATACGTTAGTTAGGCAGTTGTAGGATAAGATGTGAGCATGAATAGCTTTTGTCCTTATGTCTGCTGGAGGCCCCACTACCTCTCATCCTGGTAGGACTTCCCTTTTAGGGGCAGATCACCTTTCACTCTCCTCCCTCCTCCCTGCCCCTCCTGCTGCCGCAGGCACCCCATGTGCTAATTTCTGCTCCTAGGAGAAGTCTGCCTTCCTCTCTCCAGGCCCCTAAACCCACCCTCTAAACCCATCACCTCCACCTTCTGTTCAAATGGAGGAACCGGGACAAACAAGCAACAGAGCTGGGCCGATAATAATTTATTCAATATCACAGTCCTGGTCTGGCTAATGACTGGATTTTATGATCATTCTTTGCTCTTCTGTGAATAAGTGCAATACAATTCCTTTAACTCCTCCGTCAATAGCTATTGTATTTAAACACTGTATGTATAAACACATATTTATGCTGTTGGAATGTTTCGATCTTAGATGGGTGCTGTCTATATACACACATATGTGCATAGTACCAAAAACAAGATATAAAGAACACAAAACGTCTGCTGCTTAAATTTGCCTCCTATTTCCTTAGCAGGAGTCCCTGTTTTCACAAATGTGAAGGG